GCTTCATTGCTGCTTTTACCCCATTTCCCCCCATTGGTGATGTGTGTGGTCACGAATCAGAGCGTGCATTTTCATTGAGTCTTAGTCTTGGAGGGGGGTTTGCGTTGAGAGGACCTGGCCACTTGTCTTGAAGTTTCTAATTTTTAGTATTTCCCAATCATATGTTTTGTCTCCTTTTGTTTGTGCAATTGTTGTAATGTTAATAGTCTATGTGTGCCCTTTATTGTTGTTATTGTTGTTGTTTATGTTAAATGCCATTGAGTCAATTCTGACCCATAGTGATCCTGTATCGGGTTTCCGAGGAGCAGCTGGTGAGTTTGAACCACCGACCTTGCGGTTCAAAGCAACTTTGCAGTCCAGCGCATAAACCCACAGGCCACACCAGGACTCCTGTAATAGAGTCATTAAATTGTCCTTATTTTTTCATTGATGACCTTTATAATTCTGGGATTCACATTTAGGTCTTTAATACATGTTGAGTTGTTTTTTGTGTATGGTGTGAGATAAAGGTCTTGTTTCAGTTTTTTGCTTCTTGATTTCCAGTTTTGCCAGCACCATCTGTTGAAGAGACTATCTTCTCCCCATTCAATGTAATATGGCCCTTTGTCAAAAATCAGTTGGCTGTATGTGGGTAGATTAATTTCCATATTCTCAATTCTTGTCCATTGATCTTTCATTGTACAAATACTAGGCTGTTTGGACCACTGTAGCCATGTAGAAGATTTTGAGATCAGAGAGTGAGAGGCCTCCAACTTCGTTCTTCTTACGCAGGGCTTTGTTTATCTTGGGACTCTTTCCTTTCTGTAAAGTTTGTAATAATTTTTTCAATCTCTTTAAAGAATGTCATTGGAATCTGAATTGGGATTGCATTATATCTGTAGATTGCTTTGGATAGTATTGACATTTTCACAATGTTAAGTCTTCCTATCCAGGAACATGATATATTCTTCCTTTTTGCAAGTCTCTTTTGGTTTCTTATAGTAGTGTTTTTGTTTTGTTTTTATAGTAGTGTTTTATAATTTTCTTTGCATAGGTCTTTTGTTTCTCTAGTTAAATTTCTTCCTAAATATTTCATTCTTTGGGCAACTATCGTAAATGGGTTG